GTCTGCATTTAATACTAACTTGAGTTGAGATAAATGGGATGGAATAACATCAATGGGGGGGGGGGTTGTGTGTGTGTGAGATTAAAATAGCCCAATTGCTTTTACAATAAATAAACATTGAATGTGTTTAATTGAATAGTAAAGGGGTTTAACGTTAGTGGCAGGTTGTGTGTGAGAGAGAATAAATAAGAAAGCCCAATATTTAAAAAAATTTTTATTCTTTTCCCCCACATATTTTGCATATTTCGCAACTTTCCGCATATTTCGCAACTTCCCGCAATTTCACCGCATAAAATCACATAAAAACCCTGCATGTTTAATCGCATAATCAAGGAATTTTGCCCGCGTTTTTCTGGAGGGTCTACAATATAGACAATAGGTATAATTTTTAAACAACATACATCTATTGCAGTTATGATGTCATAATAACATACAATTGTATAAAACACAATTTGCCTACATCTTTGTTCTCTTTTGAGAATCAAACAAAACAGATTTAAATAAAAAAAAATTATGCAAACAAACAAGTGAAATGAACTAAATTGCTGAATTGCTGGAAAATGAATGTTGACAATGTTGTGTGATCATTTTAGCCTCTTCTGCATGTCCAGATCTTTAATATGTAAAAATCAACTGATTCTTATGCATTACACTTTCAAAAATAATTGATGCTGCAGCCCACTGACATGGTTTGAAAACAATATATTATCCAATTTGTGATCCCCCACAGGACTTATAAAGCACCTAACTAGATCATGAAAATCCCAAACATCTCGGGGGGGTGTATCCCCCCGAATCCCCCTCGCATGTTTGGACCTGGTATTTATGTAATCCTGGATACGGCCCTGGTCCTAGGTGTCTTGTTTTCTACACCCAAGACCATTGTCTGGTTGATATGGTACTTAATTCAATTCAATCAACAGAGAACCGGGATGACTGGAAGCGACGATGGAGGGCTCGTCTGAGGACGACCTAGAGAGAACAGTAGTACAACTGGACTCAAGTTACATTACTATTCTTTTGTCAAAACAAGTAGAAGTAAAAGTATTCTTACACGATAGTAAATACAGAAATATCGATCAGAAAAAACTTTTCTCTGTCTAAATAGTTTTATTCAATGTTTTTATAACTGGATGCCCATAACTAGTTGATAATTAGTGTATTCTTTAGAACCAGGTTATTGTTCACTTCTCAACCCTGATGGCTAGCCACACAGCATTTTGAAGTTACTGTTGTGAGGATATTTATAATTATCCCGATAATGAAAACTATCGGGCAACCTACCATCCCTACTATCTGGGTTCTGTGTAGCGTGGCGCAGTGATGCTGTGTTCTTGTATGGTAGTTAGCGTTGCAAGGGCTCTCAACTAAAAGCCAATGGGATTTTACCATTGCATTTTTTTGTATCGCAGAATGTGAGATCTTTGGCACACACACGTTATGATTCTTACATGTTTTGTTCAGCAGGTCTTTGCATATTGACACCACTTCCTGATTTTTAAAGCGTGCAATATCCAGAAGTAAAAAGCTAACGTTAGGCTAAGCCATGGGTGTCTCGGTTGATGACTGCTCCTCACCACCGCTAAGCTAGAGGTGGCTAATATTGGGTGTGATGACAACTAGTAGTTTTATTTAATCACATGTAAGCATCCACCGTTTTATGACACATAGATGTTGATTTCGGGACAAAGGAACCTGAAGTGGTAAAATGCTAATTGCCATTTTTAGGACTCATTCCTGCACCACTCTTTACACACTTCCTGCTCGCTGTCAGCAGGCTTCTTTGATGTACTGACCTCATACCAGTGATGACAGCCGGAGCTTTCTGTACCGTGGTCTGTTAGCATTAGTTGCTAGTTGTACAGGGACAGTGGGTCAAGTG